CCCCAAAACCCCAAAACCCCAAAACCCCAAAACCCCATATTAAGATGTACAAATAGAATGAATAAATCTACTCGTACTGTTTCTCCAAGGAGAGATCGAACTGGGGCTTGGTTGGGAGGAACCAATGAATTGAGAATTTGCCACCAAAGACTTCTCTCATGCATTCTGCTGGAGATTTCCTGGCATCGATGCACTCTTTCTTCAGAATGTCAATTGTAGTGGTGTCATTTCTGATTACTGATATCATTGAGATGAACATTATTATTGTGAAAGCAGCGAAGGTGAGGGATATTATTCCACCGATCACAAAGATGAAAACTATGCCAGGAAGGTCATCGAACACCTTTCACTCTTCTCGTACTCACTTTGATAAGAATATGGCATAGATTATTAAGCTTGTCATGGTAAGTATGAAGGAGTAGGCAAGAAGTACCATAAATATTTTCATGTTCTGCAATCCAATGCAATTGTTCATCCACGGGCAATGATGATCCATTTTTATGATACATCTTCTACAGACTCTACAGTGGTGAGCTCTAGGAGGTTTTGGGCTCTCTCAGATGTATCAGTAGTTTAAATACTTAGCCTTAAGTTTTTCCTTAGTGTAACGATCAAGTCCTTCATCTGCTTCTTTGTATTCCTGTAAAAGAGGGAGTTCTAGATCATCTTGTTCGCTCTCTCTTTGCATTGAAGAACTAAATAGTTAGAGTAGATGATAAACCTCTCATTATTTTTCTCTCTTTCCTTCTTTCGTTGTTCAAGAAGCTTTTGAACGATTATGTATTCAACAAGCTCTTTTGACTGTAATCTCTCCTTTTGGATTTTATTTTAAATTTTGCTTAAGGTAGCCAGGGTCAGTTGTCATACAACTAATATGGCTCCAGATCACCATAGCAGCTTCAAATTGAAAAATAGCAATGACAATATACTGTACATATCCTCCTTGCACCCATTGGTCATAAAGAGCGGTAACGACGACGTTGAAGTTTATTATTAGAAGCATTAAATAGGCAAAGAGGAACATAAATATTCCAGGGCCATTTTTTATAAAAATCATTATCAATTGTTCATATAATGGGGTTTTGGGGTTTTGGGGTTTTGGGGTTTTGGGG